GTTGCCGAAGCAGGGACGGGCCAAGCAGTCCGAGCCAATATAGTCCGTAATTAGTTTAGTTGATGAATTAAAAGCACATATCAATTCACCGATATTTGTTTTCCTCTAAGTTTAATAATTATTTTTTTATTGCAGTATACAGAGGTAATGCTAATAAAGCATATATTGATTTCACTTTTATTTTCAATATACTGTACATAATAAAATAAACTTCTTTATAGAAAATAAAGAAACAAAATTGGCTATCTTTTACCTTCATATGATAAACATTTGATATATGAAAATTCAGTATGTACTATATTCTTGAGCAAAATTGATTACAATACAGTATACTTTTAATGCTACTAAATACCAAAGGCACTTAAGTTTGGAAGAAAAAACATCATTATATAAAACATATTTGAGAACTTAAAAAAAAAGAATTCAACTATTTCCTTGTTAAACTACACAATTTGACATGGGTCACCACATCCTTTTGAAAGAATAATACAACTACTGGTAATTGTTGCCATTTTTAGGTTTAAAAAATGGAATACAGTATAATTTTCATACAGTATGTTTAAAATTACTCTAGGAACTCTCATGAATAGAATGTAGCTGCATCAATCTGTATATTAAAGTAAACTTGTAACCAAATACGGTACAACTATAAGTAATAAAGAAAACAAAATAGCAAACTCTTGGCTTGTTAAGCTATGCAATTTAGCATGAGGCTGCACATCCTTCAGAAAGAACCAATGCAACAACTTGCTCTATGAAGTTCATATGTGTGGTAAATAGCAATGATTACAGTAGGCTGTTGGTGAACTTGCAACATTATTTCAGTTTCAACCTAGTTGATTCATAACCTTAAAATATTCACTAATCAATAAAGCAAGTATAACTGAAAAATAACTACGTATTACAAAATAAAGAAACATTTAAAAAATAAAAATAAGTACATGACTCCGGTTTCAAAGCTATACATTTGATTACAGTATGAACTTTTACCCAAAACCTGGGTAAACAATATCCGTAGGAGCACTGCAACACATGTTAATAGTTAACAAGTGTGTGTCTTTCACTTAACTTTGTGATTTTAACTCACTTATGAAGAGATTAATATTCCTGTTAAATTCTCATGACTAGTATAGGGTGAAAGTTACACAATTATTTAACATGCCTTGTCTTCTTTCATAACAATCACTCAAAGGAAAAATTATAATAAGAGTGTGATGACTTTTCAACTACGCTGTTATCACATTTACCAAAAGTAAAGACTTCTAGAAGTAAACAACTACCCATACCCTAAACACAGCATCATGGGGTAGGATTTTTCGATTGCACAGCTTTTGTAATGGTTTGCAGTGCAGATACAATGCACTTGTTGTTAGCTACAAGTTTAACCATGTTTGATGAAATTTTGGTGGCACCTTCCTGAACAGAATTAACAAGCTCTACCAAACTGTCCCTCATTTGTGGCAACATGAAGCACCTCCGGAATAAGATTGGCATCTTTTAGGGCAGAAGGGGTTCTTGGCTTGCTGCTCCTATTATGACTTGTACTTGGTATTGGAGGTGAACCCGGTTTATCAGTGGGATCACCAGTTACAGTTAACCTCGTCTGGTTATCATCAGCTGTGGCAGAAGGGGTATGAGACCTATTTTGCTGTTCCGGGGAAGCAGCAAGAGTCTTCCTTGAGTTACATCATATGTTCTGGATGATGAAGATTCCTGAATGTTTTGATGTGATGAAGTTTCAGGTTCTAAAAGCACAATGGGTACTGTTGTATCATGTTCTTGTAAATCCTCAGTCAGCAAGATGGTTAGAGAATCCTCTTTCTTTTGAACGGCCTAAACATAGATTCCTCTCTTGAATGAAGAGCCTTAAACCTAGCTCCTGAGGGTCCGGGGGTTTGTTCTCTTTCTTCTTCTAGAAAGAAATATATAATAGTTTGATTTAAGTCTATGTTTAGGGTATGCATAAAATATTATAATTAAAAATCTATTCAAGTTTTTAGAAAAAAATGGGTCTGAAAAATAGTGTTGACCATCCAAAAGTAAGTGTATAAAATAGTTTTAATTGTAAATACCAACTAAATTAAACTTGGTTACAATATTATAAATTCATTTAATTATAATATATAGTGCATTTAGTTCCAGGTGGTAAATTTCTGATACTGTATTTCCCCCCAAAATTGTCCAATTACAATATGATTTATAACTTTGGGAAGCAATAAGAAATTTAATCAACTTACTAATTTTGTTTATTTTTTTTAAATACAGGTATACACAAACTCAGTATATTTCGAAAGGAAGATACAAGTGAAAATAAGGCACCAAAAATATTTTTTTAAATAAAAACAAGGACAGAAAAGAACAAAATATATCAGAGGGTTGGAAAAGTGTGTTGAGTGAATTACCATTAATAGGTTTATTATTTTCCAAAATCCCTGGAATCCCATGTATAGAGACTGGATATTTTACTTTTTTTTACTTTACTTTTATCCTTTTCACCACTGATTGGCTGGCTAGCCGCTTGGGCGATCGGTCATGCCCCTTCAAGAGAAAAAACCAAATACAAACTTTCTTAATGTGAGCTGTTATATTTGGTAGGAATCATACAGTTAGAAAGGAATTTATTGAAATAGTTCAAAACATTATAACCTAACCTATCATTGTAGTTGTAGCCCTCCAAATTCTCCTCTATCTATGCCAAAGTAAATTAGATTTACTGTAACAAACATTATGGGGTAAAATAGTGAAAAATAATAATCGCTGCCACTCTTTTTCAACCTGTATTGGTTGTAAACCTATAAGATAGAACATCATAGCCTATAAGCCTAACAAAGTAAGATTTGCATATTAATGTATACCAAATATGAAATTAAATCACTTGACTAAAAATTAACCCAATAATAATGATAAAAAAAAGAGGAATTCTATGGTAAGCTACACATTATGACCTTCATTGCCGTCGGAAAGAATGTAATTATTAATATGTACTAGTTTATAACAGTAATAAAACCTACCTAACCTAACTTTCTTCGACCACCCACAAGAATATCTCCATTCCACGTCATTTGCGACACAATGAATATTGTCTTAAAATTGTCTCAACTATATGATAGGTATAGTATTAAGAAAAGCCAAAAGTTGTGGGGCAATTATTAGCAGTAATACCGACTAGCCTTGGGTTCATGTATCGGCGGTACAGTTTTCACTAGTTACTCACACGGCAAACTTCGAAGACTGCTGTTTCTATTTATGAATGTTCTCATATAAGGAAAATATGTGCATTAATTCACGATGAAGAGCCACCATACACTACTTCCTTGAGTTTACAACCACCTCAAATCATACCAAGACTCAGAAAAAACAGAGTTAAGTTGGTTTCAGAGTGGAAATCAATACCTAGGCTAAAATATTAGGACTTACCTTGTTGCACCAGTATATTTCTTATCTTGTGCTGCTTTCTTCTTCACGCTTACACGTAAATCAGAAAACTTCCGCCCGACCTCAACAACATTGTGGGGTATTAGAGCCACAACATTCGCTTCCTTTATAACTTCTTCCCAGGCATGATTCTTCACTTTGATTGTACATCTCGAGTCCAACTTCCCTAAAATTATTTTCTTTCTTTTGGCGACTTCACACACCATGGTGTATACTTCACACACCATGATGTATACTTCCGTCTCACTGAAATTTGGTCGTTTTTTGCGTCCTTTCATCTTTTGTTTACAAACTAATATCATGTGCATCGCTCTCAGCTGATTTCTCCTTCTCTTGTGATTGGTTGATGATTTTGTTAACTGAGCGCTGATTGGCCAACTAGATCCTGCACTGCCATGTACGTTTCAACAAGAGAACTGAATTTACAAAGTAAACACTAGAGTTACGGACTGCTTACGGGATTGTAATTAAATTTTGATTATGAGAAATTTATGGTACCTGTACTGTAAAGAGTCAGCAATATATGGTACTGTATCTTGCTAATATACATAACTTATGAGGTGTTTTGAGTATCCGGCCCCTGTATTGTAGGCCTAACTATAACATCAGTTATTATGTGCGTCATAGATTACTGAATACAGGTACTGTACTGTACAGGTATTGAAAATTTTACCTTTCTTTAATCAGTTGAGCATGGTACCTGGTATTTATTTAATATACAGTAGTACAGTACCGATACTGTAATCATGATGAACAATACTGTGTTGTGGACAGTCGTAACCCTTTAAATGGTGTGTGTATTTTGTTTTGTTTTTCTACACATACTCAATACCGGTGTAGCAGACCAGAATTAGCCAAAACGATAACTGCGCTTGATGACGTCGCATTCACAAACAGTGACGTGACCCAGCCTCACCCTGCGTCGGACCAGAAGTGGCCAGTTGTGCTGTGGCGATAGATAAGTGGATATTGACACAGCCAATAACCAGGACAGTGGAGTTTAACAAATGTAAAGTGGGCATAGAAACATTATAAGTTATTAAATAAAGATGTAAAGAGTGTCAGACAAGAGAAAGATTTAGATGTGATTATTTCAGGTGACCTCAAGGATGAAGAACAGTCACTGGAAAAGCTAAACAGATTGTGGGACTGATAAAAATCTCATTTGATTATCTGTGTCCCGAATCATTTAATTTTTTGTATAAGAGTTTTATGAGGCTACACTTGGAATTTGCTGTTCATTTCTGGTGTCCATACCTGAGGAAAGACATTGATAAATTTGAGAAAGTACAGTACAGTACAGTACAGTACAGTATTGTATTGTGAACTACTGAAGGTTACCGGTACAGTATACGGTACTGTATAATTTAGGGAAAAACAATGTGTCATGAAGCATAAGTCTTGAATATGTCCTAATCTTAGTACATGTATTTTGTTGTCAGCATACCAGGAATGAATTGGGTTTGAACCTCTTATGTTTGATTCTTATCTGACCATAATAAAGATCTTGTTGTGCATTGTAAGAGTCTAAAAGTCCTAATACTGTAGTTGGTTATACTCAACAGATTGCAAGTGCTGCAGTTCCTGTGTGATCAGTTCCTACAAACATCAGTGGTGCGGGAAGACCTTCTCAGTGAGGGTAAACTCCGTTACGATGACCACTGTCGAGTCTGTCACAAGACGGGAGATCTCCTCTGCTGTGACTCTTGCTCAGCCGTGTATCACCTGGACTGTGTTGACCCTCCCCTGCAGGATATACCTGGAGAGATGGAGGACTGGACCTGTAGCGTCTGTACTGCACACCAGGTACTGCACCTACCCTGCAGTACAGTACAATACATACTGTATTGCCTAACCTAATCCAACCTTTGTCATCAGTTCTTTTCTTAGTTTGATTACAGTACAGTATACAATATATTGTGTAGCCAAGTATGATGGTCAAACATAGAACCTAAGACTGAAATACTATCTAGTGTTTCTACAGGTACTAATGTACTACTGTGTTTCACTTTATTTTCTGTTGTTGGAATGATAGAGTTAATTATCCTACAGGTTGAAGGTGTTACAGACTGCATATCTCCTATGGAGACCTCAGGAATTCTGTGCAGACAAGATCCTTTGGGATTTGATAGACACGGACGGAAATATTGGTTTCTTGTCCGCCGGTTATTTGTGTAAGTATTCAGTGTGACGTGAAGTTCTGTTATGTTGAATTGTTGCATGGGAAGAATGAATCAGTGGTACATGATACTGTACACATAGGAGCCCAAAAATTGATGGTACTGTAATCTGTGGCAGCACAGTAGAAGCTTGTTGGTACAGTACTGTCTAGGTAAAAGATGTGATGTTGTATAGCTGAAATAAAAAAGGTGAAGTGGATATGTAATGTGACAATGAAAGACAGGAGGCGCTGTTCAGAGGTAAGAGGGTGGGTGGGTACTGTACAGTATTGGTGAAGTCCTGCCTAGAGGCAGGATGAGTTGGTTTGGGCTTGTGGAGATAATGGATGAGACCAACTGAATCAAGAGGCACATGAGCCTAAATATGGAGGGCAGGGGTAGGTCAAGAATTATATGGGGAGAGGTTGTAAGAAATGACATTAAGATTTATGAGAGACTGCAAATGACCATGCAGCCTGTTTCCTTTGAAAAATGAAGAGTTGGTCACTGGTAAGACCTTACACTAGTTATAACTAAGAGCTTAGTTACTGGTAAGGCTAGACTAAGTCACTGTTTAGACTTTAAATAAATTAAGCTTTTTAATCTTATGAGACAAGTTAGAATGGTGTGGGAGCAGTAAATATGTACAGTGTTAGAAATGGTTAAATTTAGCTTAGAAGTGCTTTTAGAAAATTAATGCTTGAACATATCTTCCA